AGACTTAGTTTGGATATATAAAAAATATTTCACCTTGTAATGAAGCCGGGTGTTTCTGGATTCTCGGGTTAATATCTTTAAGCAGATAATCCATGCTTGTATGCTGATAATTGAATTTTTGAGTTTAGACCAGCAGAGTTGTTTACTGAGGTAGTAACAGTAGAGCACCTAAACATTCATTTTATGTTTAATTAGGATAAAAGAACCCACTCTTGTGCATCCATATGAGTCAAGAGTGTCAAAACGAAATGAGATAAGGTTAAGAAGTAAGATGTATTTGGGGCTCACTTGTTGTGGATGCGCTCATGTCTGATCTTGAAATAGTAGATTCTTCATAAGATGGGTTAGAACTTTATTAGGGCTTAACATACCAAGAGAAATTTTATAACTTGCCTTTTCAATTTACAGTGTCTTGGATATTCTGGAAAATGCTCAGAAACTGAAGAGAAAATATAGGAACCACCTTCAAACTCCAGAAGTTTAGGATATCCTGTGAAGAATTAATGCTTCATTACGATAGGGAATGTTTCCATAATCGACAAAAGATGCATGCATTTTTCTTTATTGTTATGTTGATGAATGGCTGTCCTATTATACCTTTCCACGTAGAACAAAGGTTGACTATAATGGAAAATGATCATCCTATATCTGGCCCGACATGTATTTCAGGTTTTGTTTCCATCATGACGTAAAGGAACCAAAAGTTTTTTATATAGGTATATGGATTATCTCAGGTTTGTAATACTCGAGTTCAAATAGAGAATATTCGAGTAGAAGAGATTGTACTGGAGTGATCAATTTTCTTGTTCTTGTTTGACCCGTGGATTCCTCAATGTGGAGGTTGTGGCTAAGGACAAACGTAGCATGAATCAATTTATGTTATACTAGTATGCTAGTGGATATACGCTTTATCTGCATTTGTTGCATGTGGCCGGTTTTTGTCGTGTACTTCTGTTAAGACAATTTCAACTTCTCGCAACCGTGTCTTTTCTTTCTCACACACCTTTTTGTCCCATGACTGATAATTTTTCTCATAAATCAAATTAAGGTATATTGGTTTTCTCTATTTGACCCATAGATTCCTCAAATGTGGAGGTAGTGACCAAGGACAAAAACATCTCGAATCCAATTATGTCTTTTTCTACCTGTTTTTTGTTCAGTATAAGCTTTTTTTTGCATTAATTGCATATAGCGATAGCTGGTTGTTGTCATATAGTTTAGTAGGGACAATTTCAATTATCTGCGACAATACCTTTTTTTTTTCCTCATGTGTCTTTCTGTTGTATGATTGGTAGTCATCATAAACAAAAAAATTAGGTCATTCGAGTTTTCTCTGTTTGACTCATGGATTTTTCAACGTGGAGGTAGTGTGCAAGGATAAAAGTACCATGAACAAGATTATGTTATACTAGTTCACTATTTAGCGTATGCTTTATCTGCAAGTAGTTGCATGTTGCATTAGCATGTTTTTGGCGTATGAGTTTCTGTTGAGACAATGTCAAGTCTCCATGACCATGTCTTTCTTTTCTCGTGCCTTTTCTGTTGTATGATTGGTAATCATCATAAACAAATGGGAATACGGTACAGTAGTTTCTTGTCACTTGGCTGATTATACCATCGACTCTAAGAAATGTTGGTTTGTAACAGGATCAAGCGGGGCAGAGCGAGCAGAAGGTTCAAGCAAGCCGTAGAAATAAATCAACTAAACTTGGAAAGTCCGAGCAGGATACTGAATTGGGTAAGCAAACTCCTGTTGTGCCAAGATGTACCTCAACTGGTAGTGGCAGGTCGAGACAGAATTTGACTGAGGTATGAAATGTTTCTTTGTCCTCTGTGGTTTTACCCTTTCAGTACCTTCGTTTACAACTGAGCTTTTTTTATAGGCTGAGAAGGAAGAACGAAGAATTCGTAGGGTATTGGCAAACAGAGAATCAGCTAGGCAGACTATTCGCCGAAGGCAGGTAAGCTGTTGGTAATACTGCTAGGTCAGTGCTTTCAGTTTCAGGTTTATATTCCAGATGACTGTGGCTACATTGACCATTATTAATTCATATTTGATTTGGTCTTTCTTTCTCTTAACATGGTGGGAGTATCTTTCTTTTAACTCGGCAAAAGATGCCTTTTCTGCACCAATATAAATTCTTGTCAATGGTTGCATATCTTTCGATTATTTCTCTCCATGAGTTTAAGATGCTTTTGATTGCTATAATTTTTCTAACTACTGCACACTGCTTTTATTTAACAATAAACAAAACTCTTATTAAGCACTATGGGATGATGTAGGGAGTAAATTGATTGGCATTGGGGCTGAGGTTCAGTTAGGAAATCTTTAAAGATACTGTTGAAGTAAAAAAAAAAAAAAAAAATTTGTTAAATAAAGTATGTGATTGATTCACTTGCATTAACCCTTTACCCTGAGGTGGGTGACAAGTCCCCTTAAGCTGTCAATTAGTTTTTTTTAAAATAAAATCTTTCAATTAATAAAAATCTTTCAATTTATATTCAATGCGTTTCCTGCATCTGGTTGTTTCAAATTGGACATTACCAAATAGAAGAGATGAGAAATGAGAACTTTCAGGAAACTATATTCTAGTGCTCTGTAAGATCTCTGCCAGCATCTTGCAACATGAAATGTGTATAAATCTAGATGGCATAATTTAGTTTATGTAATCTTGGGCAATGGTGAACCGTTTGTTTGAGCAATGAATCTATCTACAATTTCATTTGAGATAAATGCAAATTTATCGTGATTTGTGGGATGGTTCTAGTTAACTGGAATATTTATTAACTGTAGAATCTGGATAGAAATAGTGGCATTTATACAGAAAATGTCAAGTAATAGTGGAAGTGATCTAAGACAAGTAGTACTGAAACTAACTTGTCCAGATATAGCTTGGAAATTAGAGAAATTTAGTTGGAACAGAAGAATAGCGCTAGGGTGGAGAAAACTAAGAATCAAGGTGAACAAATACGGGAGAACGGAGAGACTAGTAGATACGAAATAAAAATAATTACGGTTGGCAAAACATAGGGATACTAGGGGATAAAAACTTGATACCAATATTTGTAATTCATCATAATTTATCACTGTCTATTCTAATTGTCTACGTTGTTGATAACCTTTATATAGGCACTAATTACAAGTAACTAAAGAGGATAATAAATAAAATAAGGAAATTAAAAAGTTTGTAATTTCTAATAATACTTAAAATATCTCCCAAAATAAACTAAGTAGATTGAAGATACTAAATAATATTTATAATTTCGTAGATGTTTCTTGATACTAAAACTATTTCAATTTTGGGAATTCTTATTCTGTATTGTCTTTGTAGTAATATTCTTCTTTTCCTTATCCATGAAAATTTATTATGTAATATCTTTTCAAAGATGCTTTCTTCATCTCTTGTTCCTGCAAAGGTTGAGCATGTACTCTGAATTTCCATGCAGGCTCTTTGTGAAGAGTTGACCCAAAAAGCTGCCGATCTAGCACGCGAGAATGTACAGTTGAAGATGGTATACAGAATCCCAGAAAATTTCTTTAGCATTTTCTAGGAAGGCAGTTTTTCTTTTTGGTTTTCTTTTCCTCTCTTAATGGACAAGATAATTTTGTCTGTTCTCTTTACATGTTTGTATGTGTTGCATGCACAACAACCGGTAGATCTTAAATGTAGTATTAAATTCCATATCTTTGCATACATTGAAACTTCCTCTTGAACTTGGGTTGTCTTTGCATGCATGCTTGCACGCATTCATATCAAATAAGTTATGTAGTTGATAGTTCTGTAAACTTTCTATATCTAGACATTACAACGTTAACGTGGTTTGCATTTCATGATATTTGTCCTGGGTAGGAAAAGGATTTGGCCTTAAAAGAGTATCAATCTTTAGAGACCATAAATAAACAATTGAAAGCACAGGTAAGATTGGGTTTCAATGAGACAAGTTTAATCTTATTAGTCTTATCACAGTATCTGATGTACTCTATCTCTGCAGATATCAAAGGCAACAAAACCTGAAGCAGGACAAGCTGTAGAACAGCCACCTCATCTCAACATATCTGCCTCTCCATCTACAACTTACCCAGTGATGCTTTTTAATCAAAATCCTCTACAACCACTATGCTGGCCTTCTGTTGTTCAGGCCTCACATCCTATACAATCACAACATGGGCCTCCTACTGCTCTCGTAGTTCCTTCTGGCATTCCTGCACAAGCTCCTGGAAATCTTCTATTATCTCAGGAGCAGGAAAACCCTGTAAAAAGTAATGGACCAAGAACTCCTATATACATAGTTCCATGCCCTTGGTTCTTCCCTCTCCCGGATCACGGGAATGGCCTTCATCTTCAATCCTCCTCTGGCATGAAAAACATGCATGATGAAAATTCTGTGAATAATTCCTATAGTTCTGTTCCATCTTTGAAAACAATTACAGGTATAGAGAACCATATTTCTCATTCTCCCACCGAGAAAGTGAAAGAAGAGACTTCTAGCTCAACTGAATCCAAACATGCAAATGACCTTAACGAGGTCCCGGCCGGATTCCCGCACGATGGAGGTAGTCATTACATAGGTCTTCACCCCAAAGAAATGATGCTTGCACCTCTACCTCAAAGTTCTATGGGGCCTCCATTTACTTTTAAACAAGAGAATGTGTTTCCATCAGATTATGTTGGTCATGTTTTAACTGTTTTTCCAGAGAAGAACCAGGGAACGGTTGATTACTCAAGTAAGAAAATGGTCGATACTGTTGCTGCAGCTGAGGCAAGGAAGAGGAGGAAGGAACTTACGAAGATAAAGAACCTCAACAGCCGTCAATGTCGGACTCCTGCTTAAAACTTACTATCCATGATTCTGGTAGGCTCTGTGACTAAAGGAGTTAGTGGACTGCAGCTTTAGCCTGTGCAGGAACAACTATATACATAGTTTTCAGTTTAAAGGATCAACTCCAACTTATTCTTGGCTTTACAAGTTCAAACTCTTTTTAAAGGTTTGAGGTTGTTACCATTTCAATAGGTTGCACCAGAAGATGGATGGTAACCAAAAATTTTGGTGGCCTTTTAGCTTTTTTTTTCTGTGTAGCCTAAAACAACCAAGGGTATGAGAATTAGATTTTTGATTTTGAATGCTTTCTATCAGTTTATCTTTTTATTCTTACTAATGTTCTTTTATAAGTGGCTGGTAGTTTTGGTTAGAGGATGAAAACTTATTAACAAAGTAATGCCACAATTTTCGTGGTGTTCCATTCTTTCTATGTTTTGGCCAACTTCCTGCTTCCGGTCTTGTATTTTTGGATGCATATAAGTAGTGTGTTACTTACACTATTTGTCTATGTGGAAATGATTTACGGTTTTATTAGGGTATTATCCATGTGGTTTAATCCTTGATTTATTTCTGTTTTCATCACATGGGTAGTGGTTGAGGTAGCCTACTCTTGAGTATTTCAAGGAGGTCCTAGAATCAATTCCAGAAACCTAATTTAGGAGGATTTTGGTTTTTATTTGTCTGATTCTCTTCCTTGCATCTTATTAGAACTTTCGCCAATAAGGAAAGAGACAACTATAAGTTTAGGAGAATCATACCCATATTTTTCTCAATAGCTGAACCATTATCGATATTTAAAAGGACAAAACTCCAACTTGAATGTTTCTTTATTAACTTTCTAGGTCTAAAAAAAGGGTAAATCTGACCTATGGATAAGAATAGGACCCTGACACTATATGTTTCTTATCATCTCGCTGAAGTAAGGGTGATAGAGCGTCTGTGTTACATTTTCTGTTGAACCCTTCTCCATAACCTTGAAAAACTGCTTTTTAATTCAACCCAGTAGACTCCAAACCAATTGCAAAGACTTAATAGAAAGACCTTTTGTCGATTGTAGAGTTGTTTTGTAAAAATATTTTTCCCGTCTCCACGAGTCACAGTCCTGTAGAAGCCTGCTGATATTCTAGACCCTTCAGGGATGAGTAGGATGTGGAAGAACAGTGGAGCTCTTCGCTGCCTCTTACAGGTTTAAACTTTGAACATTTGAATCTCTTCGTGCCACCATGAGCATGCCGATTGTTGTGATGTTGTAGATTTTGTTACAGAGAAATTCCATGTAGGAGCTTGGTAGATATCATATACGCCCTTTTCGGGTTTATCTGGCCTGATCCTGAATCTATACCTTCGATCTTCATGGGTGTGGGTAGATAGGAGGTGAAGTGTCTTTTGGTTCAAGCGAAACAATGACAGATTGCTTAATCTTGCAGATGGAAATCTTATAAGTTGTTTTAGTAGAAAATGCACTTACAGGTGGTCATTATGATTATCCATGATGGAAACTCCAGCCTTTGGCAATTCTCCCTTATACACGTTGAAAAACTGCGAAAAGAAAATAGATGAATATATTCTCGGTCATTCCAGGAAATTTAGCAGGCTTGTGAGTATATATATTTGTAATATGTATGTATGTATGTATGTATACTTTTTGAGTGTTAAGTTTCTGGTAATATATAAGCAAATTCTGAGTGGCCCACGAACAAATAATATATGGACTGCGAAAAGCATATAGATATATGGTTAATGGTTGATCATTATAGGAAGTGGAGCTGGCTTATCAGTGTATGTATATATACTCGAGCGTTAAGTTTCTGCAAATAAGCAAATTTTTATGATTAAAAATGCCCAGTAAAATATTATGATTCATCTTTTATCAGGCTGATCAGTATGCATGGATGCGCGTATGTATGTATGTATGTATGTATATACTCCAGGGTTAATATTTTGCGAATAAAATGTTTCATGATAAAATAATAATAATACCCAGTTATAGAAAGGTAATGAAATGCTTATCTCAGAAAGAAAAGGAAAGGTAAAGAAGTGCATATTTCGTGTATAAGTACATGTACACGTATGTGAATATATATATATATATACACACACACACATACCTATATAAATACAAATACCTGTACTGATCAGAACTTCAAATCGGCCATTGGATCAGAAGATAAAAGACTGATGAAGGAAAAGAAGTCTACAAGTAGATTGTTGACCAAGATACACTTCGGCTTGGGTTTTGGATATTCAAATGGTTGACTCAATATTTCAATTGTCTAATATTCCAACCTGAACATTAAGACTTGATTTTTCATGCATATTTTTATATAATTTTTTCTGACTAAATTATTTTTCAAATTCTTAAATTATATTTAATTTAAAATAATTTTATCTTCGCACTCTCAAATCATAAATTTTTTGCAGGCATTTAATTTAGATAAATTTAAAAATATTTTTCACGTCTAATTTAATTAAAAAATTACATGAATCGTAATAAAATAAAATACATATAACTATATTAACCCTTAATAATCAAAATTTGAATCATAATAACGGGTCAAAACCGAAATTATAATATCCAAATAATTTCAAAATTTTAATATTTAAGTAAAACATAAATATCTTAATTTATGGTAATAATAATAAGATATTATATCAGTATATACCAATTATAAAATAATTCTCAAAATATTTTAAGATGTTTCGAACATGAAAGTTTACGTAAATTTGTGCTATAAGAACTTTTTAGAACTTCGTAATGAAATCCTGCTACTCCATCGCTGATTCAGAATGTCATTTACCAGAGTACCCTGTTCTATCTTCTTCCTCTTCTGACCCTTTGTTGATTCTGTTTCGCATTCCCAGTCCCAAATTTGTAGCTCCGTTTCTCTCCTGGGAAATGAAGAAAGGGATCAGAAAATTCTTCAGCTTTCTCTGCGGACTGTAGTATCTGAAGCAGTTCGATTCGATGCTCACGGTACTCTTATTCTCAAATCCTTACAGTTTTTTTTCACTCACAATAACCAGGGGAATGATAATCATATGATTTGTATTCATATTTGAACGTAGTAAGTTATCATTCGCTTTTAGGCAGAAGCTGAGTAATTACAGTCCTAATCACACTACAAGTTCCACTCATTTATATTGAGCCTAAGTGCCTGAACTGATAGTAGAAAAGGTGTTTGTAGAAATGCCTAAACCAAAAATTCTAATTGTCGGGAGGGAGGACACTAGATTTGTCGAGAATGAATGAGATTTTTTTTTTCTTTTTTGGAAAACAAGTGAATACGATTGCATAACCTAAAAATTGAACTCCATTCACCAAGTGCACCCACTCATAATCCAAGTTTTGTTTTTTTAGTAATCGATTTATTGGGGTTATGTGGGATAATCTAGATCGACATCACGACATAAAATTGTCAACTATGCATTTTGCAGCGTGTATTGCTATCAATTTATCAAACTTTTTCTTTTGCTAATTGTTCGGAATTCTTTACTAGTGTGATTAGAACAGCAATAGCAGCCTGTATTGTGTAGTTCAATCTTTGATTAGAAAGCGTCACTGGAGGATGGATTCACAATAGATAGCTTACTTTAATATTTTCAGAGAGTACTTTAACCAGTAATAAGGTAAGTAAAATTGGAGGTTAGTGGTCGTTACATATTTAACATAGAGGAGAATAGCAATGAATCTTAAATCAGATGGTGCATATATTTTTCATCTTCTCTCAAATAGCTTCATCATTAGGGTAAAGAGCTGAAAAAATTTGGAGCTGATAAATAAAATCAAGGAGGAGATAAGAATTCTATTGATGTTATTTTTGTATTTGGATATATAGGAAACCCAAAATTTATGGGGACAATATAGTGCTATTACCAGCATAGGAGTTTGATGCTACTGTACAAGAATTTAAAAAGAAATCATAGCATAATCGGTTCTGTGACGTTGTTTACATTTCATAGGTTATATTGATTGATCAGTTTGTTTCTGATTTGCAGTAGAGAAGTTCACTGCCTATAGATCTTTAGTTCATTTGGTTCCCAACTTCCCTATCTTTTATCTCCTCAAGCTTCAAAATTAAAACGACAATTAAGTTCATTATATGCTGAAATGCAGATTTTATTTGTTACATGTTTTTGGTTATACTTTGCATGTTTTCAAGATATATTGGTCTAACATACTTTTGTTGGCAAGATAAAGATGTACATAATGTAATCAGCTTTAGTATAAGTTATTTCCACAGTTTTTTGGTACAATTCTTAGTTGTGGCAAAAGATCTATCAATCTTATGAAAAGTATATCCAGAAGGTCCCTCCACTCTCATTTCTATTCCCCTAAATTAAAACCTAACTATAAATACGCATTGCAGCCTTCTGCATTCAACAACTGATATTTTCATTTTGCCCTAGCCCGCTGCAGAACCCAACAGTAGTGAACTGTCGCATGGCCCCAGCTCTGGAGGTGCAGAACGTGTCCCTATAATTGAAACAAAGTGTACATGTCTTACAGTAGGGTTCTTAAGGGTTAGCAGCAGGAGGGAGGAATAACAACATGTAGCATCTGTCAACTAACAGGTTTGCTTAGTCCTCTAAGGTTTTTCTTTTCCTTTTTTTTTTAACTTATTGTTTTTGGTCCAAAAGTTCATATCATTGATTAGGTTTGTGGGGAAGACGACAATAAGCTTATAACATTATTACCATAGATGTTAAAATTGCCATTAAAGTTATAATGAAAAATTATTCTTCATATAATATTTTTCATAAAAAAATTAGATTTATTAGTCAGGATTTGAAATATTTAAAATACTTAATGAAAATATATAATAAATGAAGTATTTATTCTAGACATTGGCTAGCTGTTCTACATTGATTTTTTTTTTCTCTCAGCGATTTCTCTCTCTCAAAAAAAAAATAAAATAAAATTAGGGAGTTTAATCTTCCTCTCATGGACTTCTTTCCCTTCCTTTCTAATACTTATATTGAAAAAAAATTCTTTAGTATGAAGAGTTTCAAACATCTTATGATAGTCTATTATGACTATTTGTCCCTTGTGCACAAGACTTTAAAAGGCAACATTACATCTTTTTAACGTGTAATCCAAGTGCAGTGTGTTATTATCCAACTTTACACTATAACTTTAAACTACCATACATTACCAAAATATCTTACTACCCTCTAAAGAGTGGGGAGAAATGACCTTTTGAGGGAAGGTGTCATGGTCCTAGGTAAGATTTTGTTTAGAAGATTTTCCATGAGAAAAAAACTCCAAAAGATGAAAAGGAAACAGAACCTTCATTTACACCTAAAAAAGGAAGAACCAAAAACTTGAATGCTTATTTATCAGCTTTTTAGATCTAAAAGAGCGGTAAATATGACCTAAAAATAAGAATAGGACTCCTGACAGTATGTTTAGTGTCATCCCATTGAAGTAAGGCGGATAACGTATGAGTTCCATTCTCCATTGAACCCTTAACCACAACCTTGAAGGACTGCTTTTGATTCAACCTAGTAAACTCCAGAGTACTTGGAACAACTTCAATGGAAAGACCTCTTGGTGATGTCACAGTTGCTTTGTAAACTGATTTCCCTTTCTCCACATGAGTCACTGTTCTGTAGAAGGTTGCTGATATTATAGACCCTCTTGGGGTGAGTTGTGTGTGCATGGATGGGTAGTTAAGCCCATCACTGCCTCTTGCTGGTTTAAAATCCGAACATTTGTATCTCTTCTTTCCACCCATGAGCATGCCAATTGTTGTGCTGTTGTAGCCTTCCTTGCAGAGAAACCTGATGTAGGAGCTTAGAGAGAGATCATAGACTAGCCCGGGATGCACCGCCTTTGTTGGGTTTATCTGGCCTGACCCTGAAGCCAATTCTGCTTCTACATCTTTGAACTTCATTGGTGTGGCTAGAGAGATGAGATCAGAGTTTTTAATTAGAGAAATGATAACAGATTGCTTGATTTTCACCACAGAAAAAATATACAAGTTTTCTTGTTTAAGTAGAAAATTCATTCACCTGTAGTCATGAGAGCTGATTTGATTGCAGCAGGTGACCATTCTGGGTGGAAGGATTTAACATAGGCAGCAGCACCTGCAGCATGAGGACAAGCCATGGATGTCCCTGATAATATGTTGAATGGAGCAAAGCGATTATCCCCCTCCAGGTCAGTTATTGAGACCTTCTTCGTATAGGCAGCTAATATGTTTAGTCCTGGTGCAGAAATATCAGGCTGCACAGCAAAAGAGAAACTTAATAGAGCACTTAATATGTTGAAGTAAAAAAATGAGTCTCTACAGGATTAGGGAGGAGAAATCTTGAATAACCTTGAGAATGTTGCGCATGACCCTTGGAGTTGGAGGTCCTCTGGATGAGAAGAAAGCCACATGGGGGGCAGCCATTGGAATTTCTCTTGTCTTGTATATAACTGCCTTAGGTTCCCTGCCATTTGTTCATCCAAAAAATCAGATGTCAACAGTCAATATTCTGCATATTTTCAGCAAGATTCAAATGATGAGTTAATTATTTAACTTTTCATCTGAATAAACAATGTTCCGGATAGATTAGAAGCTTGATTGTTCTTTAGAAGCAAATAGCAGAAGTAAAAGCATTGACAGGTTCGAGTTACATAGAAGACTGTCAGTGCAAAGAAGGCATAAGTGATTATCGTATGTTTCCAAGAGGGTGAGCCTCTTAGGAGATGGATTGGATTTTGCATAGCTGGCGTGGGGTTTTGGTGTTCTCAAGTGAATTTTCCATTTGCAGGTTTGATCAATTTCCGATGTCTGATTTCAGAGTATAAAAGAAAAAAAGGCATATGTAATATTTTAAATGACAACAGCATACTTGGTAGAGTTGATGTACTGATCTATCGTCCTCCCATCTTTGGTTAGAACTGGGGAGGCAGGTAGAAGATATGCGCCAGCAACTTGTAGTGGTCCAGGAGTCACAAAAATTGCCCCAGCTCCACCTAAATCTCTGATCGTGCCATCCTGGCCCAAGTTACCGAAACAGTAGACAACCTTTCCCTTAACCTTGTCTTTGTCAAGAGTCCCATCTTTGCAAGCACTGATGCAGTTTATAGTAATCGATAACAGATTACAAAAGTGTCAAACTATAAATTTGTCTTTGCTGCTAAAGGTTTATAAAGTTCATACCTGGCATTGTAATAGATGCTCTCCTCACCCCCGGTGGATGCAAGGTCTCCACTAATTAGTGGATACATCTGTTTTCTTGGAGCAAATGTATTTGCAGAAATACCCTGTAAACAGAAGGTGCAAATAGGAAAAAACTTTTAGTTCCAAAAGAAAAAAGAAATTTTTTGCCGAAGAAACCAAGAGATAGAACAGTAAAAAAGATGCTCTCCTTTATGTTTGTTTATAGTAGAACCTGGTTCATCAATGTTCCAGAAATTTTCAAAAGAAGATACAAGTCTTGGTGATTACTTACAGAAATTTCGAAACCATTTCCAAGCCTGATTTTTGTTGAGAACTTCCTGTCAATGCTACTAGCAGCAACGGTGAAGATCCATGGAGCAACATTTGTAATTGTATATAGATTAGGCCCGTCATTCCCAGCTGCGCAAGAAGTCAGAATTCCTTTCTTCATTGCATGGAAAGATCCAATGGCAATGCTGTCAGATAAGAACTCTCTGCTGTAACCCCCGAGAGAAATTGACAAAAGATCAACCCCATCTGCAAGTGCATCATCAAAAGCTGCAAGAATGTTCACGTCATTGCAGCCGATAGAATAGCAGACTTTGTACATGGCAATCCGTGCTCCTGGTACACCTCCACGAGCAGTGCCTTTGCCTAGGCCATACAAGCTGGCGTTGGTCACTGCTGTGCCAGCAATTGTGGAAGAAGTGTGTGATCCGTGGCCTTCATAGTCTAAGGGGCTATCCTCATCAGGATAGATATGCTCAAGATCATAGGCCTTCGCTCCTATTATTTTCCTGCTCATTGTTAATTAGCAAAAGAGGTTCAACGTCAAGGTGTTCTCCATGTACAGAAGAGGAAGAGAAAGAGAGTACCTGTTGCAGCCAGTGAAGTTTTCGTTTTTAACACATTCTCCTTTCCATTTTGCTGGGACAGGCCCATAGCCTTCATCACTGAAACTAGGAACATCTGGCCAAATTCCTATAAAGTAACAAGAGATTAGAGAGAAAAAAATCTAATAAAATCTTGTTGCCTACACCCACAAACCCATATTCACATACATAAACACATTATTTACCACTATCTAGCAAACCCACAACGAGATCACTTTCTCTGCTGGCGACCCTTCTGTTAATTGATGTTTCTGGCAAGCCAAGAAAATCCCATGATCTTGTTGTATGAAGTTTGTGGAGAGTGCTTTCAAAAACGGAGATCACAGCATCTTCATCTGTAATGCATGCGAACTATATATATAAATACATCACATTGAGCATGTCATACTAACTCGAAGATTAATTGTTTTTATATAACTTAATATATTTATGAATCTCTGAATGCATATACACCTGCTAGTCTCTCTGCTTCATGTGGAAGCAACCTGGCTGCAAACCCGTTAAAGCTCCTTCCATAGCTATGTATTTTGGATTCCCTAGCTACTTGCTCACTGGCAAAAAAGAAATGATATATCAATTGTCTTACAGAAGAGATTCAGGTTACAGTATAGCAGTTTACATCCCTGTATAAAATTTTTCAGTAGCCCATAGGGGTATACTCAAAGATAACACTTCAACTTTTTATGATTTATGCTTTCTTTTACCATTGGACTCGTTAAACCTATGTTCCAAGAAATGCATTTTAGAAACATAAGTGTGACTTCACAAATACCAGGTCATATTATATAAGTATAAATATAGATATTCAGAACAATCTGTGTATTCCAAAATTTAAATAGTAGATTAATTTATTACTCTCCGATTGCAGTCGCAAGCAGACTGTGATGATCATCCATGACAGAAACTCCAGCCTCTGGCAACTCTCCCATATACACAATGTAGGACTGTTGAAAGAAAGTAGATATTTATAACTGATCACTATGGGAAACTTAGCAGGTTTGTGAGTGTATACAAACAAATATCCAAGAATGTTAAGTTTCTGCAAATAAGCAAAACTTTCATGAAAAGAAACACACACGTACAAACAGAAACGTAATGAAATGCACATATTTTATGCATGTATCTGTGTATATATGTATACCTTTCTTTGGTCATCAGGACTGTTGCTTAATCCATGAGAAAATAAAGTCAATAGACAAAGACTGAAGATAAAGAAAGCTGGTAGAGATAGATTGTTGGCCAGCTTCATCTTGTTGCTCGTTGAGTGAAGGAAGAAGGTGGTGATGGTTTTGGTATAAATAGAAAACGAGGGAAGTCGTGCTTTGAAGTGCTCCTTCCATTTTGGAAGAGATGTTTATGATGTGAGAGATACTTGGCTTGGATTCAGTTGAGTTGTTCTACTAACTACTAGTTTATTCCAAAGATTTTATCTACTTACAGATTAGTGTATATCCTTTTTTGTTACATCAGATCCTTGAATTATCCAAAGTATCTCATTTTAGAATCATTTCTTGAAATATTTTTTGGAAATTTTAATTGGAAACGTATTAATATTATTGACAAATATATGTATATAGTTTATAATAATGTTTAAATTTATGAGACTAAGTGCTAAATTGCTTTAGTCATATTATTATAGGCACGTGGAATGTTTTCCTTGGCATTTATAATTTATAAATATCTTGATTCTGCATGACTCACAAGTAAAGGGAATGTTTTAAAAGGTTTTTATTGGTTATTTTTAACAGCTTTATATGACCAAAACTCAACCATGCTTAGAATATATAAATCAGCATAAAAATGTAAACTTTAAAATTACTTCTAAAAGAACAAATTCCAAAATTCTACGATTATACTTCTAAAGGGGTGTTTGATTGGTTATAATTTCTACGGTGTTAAAATATTTGGCACCTAATAAAAAAATTTAAAAACACTTTGACAAAAATTAAAGTTAAAATCCACTTTTAACATATATAAGTAGGTAAACAAATTTTAAATGCTTTTCACAAAACTTTTTCTCCTTAAAACTGTTTCCTTTCAAAATTATCCTCATAAATTTATTAATTACACATAATTTTGATGCCTTTTGTTCGTTAAGATTTTATTAATATCTAGAAGTTTTAATTTTATCAAAATATTAAGATTTGATCATTTTAATTTTATTAATCGAATTTTATTAGTATTTGATATTTAATTTTTAAATATAAATATAATTTAATAATTTAATATTAATATAGGATATTTATATTCATAAAATATATTTTATGGAAAATAAATAATTTAATTAATATTTATTTATTAAAAAAATAATTTTTATACCCTATTCTATTATTCTGTATATACAGTTATTTTTATTAAATATAATATCTTTTATTTTTTAATAACATATTTTATATATTTTTTTATTAAAAATATTTTTATTGAAAAATATTTATCAGAAAATAAATAATTTTTACACTAATTTTTAATTACTTTAATATCAAAGGGTATTTTTATTAAATACAATTGTATTTTTTTTTTATATAACAACACTATTTTCGTAAAACACAATACAATGTTTTACCCGAAAAAAAAAAAAACTTTTAACTTGAAACTTATTTTAACAATACTAGAACTTACAGCACCAACAAAAAACCGCTTCAAACCGAGTTTAATTTTATCTCATCAGAATGCTTTTTGCTCCCTCTTGGTTCTTTTTTGGAGGGATAAGTATCAAATTAAACTTACATCTGTTAACTAACGCCGCCAAAAAAATTGTGAAAACGAAAATATGGGGTTTCATTTTAACTTTTTAATAATTTTAATAGTTTATATGATAATTAATTTACCCTGAAATATTATAAGATTATATTGAAAGCATAGTGCAACTGCTACAGCATATCAGAATGCATGCGTAAAGTAACAAAACGGCTCTCAAGAATTAACCAGTAACATTTTCCAAATAAAAAAATGTGGATGGCTCTTCCTAATTTTATTGTTTATATACAGAAGAAGGCCTTATGGCCTCTCCACCTTCTTACATGAGAAACCTAGGTTAAAATCTAACTAATATATCAACTAAACAAAGACCCTTCTTCTTTAACCCAAGCACACCATTCTTGTACAAGCCTGGATCCGTCAACCTTACCATGTTTATTTTTCAGTTTCAATTTCTTCCTTTTCTAGTATATTTCTTACGAATATCCGGAATTCTAATCTCTTGACACCGCACAATCCCTGCAGCTCCTCCAGAACACAACCATCTCTCACTACCTTTGTTCATGTTCCATCTCACCCTATGCATTGCTACCATTTTTGGAGGGAAAACTTCGATTTCATTTCCGGCTTCTCCTTTTCTACTCTCTTTCCCCTTTACATCCGTTGCCTCCGCAACTGTGCATGCGGATGCTTGATCAACTTTTGCCTTTTTCGCAGTATTACTTTCAGGTTTTGGCTTCTTTTGGCCCTTAGGAGCTCTTGGCGTTTCTTCAGGTCCAGATTCCACATCTTGATCATCATCAAAGCAGATGCTCGCTGCAAGAAGACAAACAATTTCTTGCTATGTACTTAGTTCAAGAAAACAAGATTAAAACAGTGGTTAAATGAGACAGTGTAATATGAAATTCCGAGAGCTACCTATATGATTATCAGAAGTAGGATTCTTTGACTTCTTGTCATTTGCACTTTTAGCCTGGGGTGACTCAGTCAAGAAGCTTCGGAGGCATTTTGGAGCTTCACTAGAATCATTAACTGGCTTCTTCAATGTTAAAGGATTATCTGGCAATGGAGTGTGAACAGTAATGGTTGAACCTGCTTCAGTCAAGGATCCACATAGAAAATGTGGAGCTCGATGTCGTGATGGATCTTTCTCCACTGCTTTCTCTGTAAGCTAGTCCAGAAAATGATACTGTTAGATTTGGTAAAAAGCTTAAGAAATGCACAACGTAATCTCTATCATCGTTTTACAAATATTACATGTGACTATTTGAAGAGGAACTATTTTGCAAACCAGGTATACTGTAGTATTTATTTTATTATTATTATTCTGGAATGAAATATATCTTATTCTCTGAAATTTGCTGTATTATATAGAAACTACCTCACTTTTTAAAACTGAACAAGAAACATCCTACCTTGCAACTTATTGTGCACTTTATCCTCCATCACTCATATACTCCGTCAAATATTTTGTTAATTTTTTCTATCACTTTACCATAAATTATAATATATCCATCTATATGCCTAAAAATATAAAAATGATAATTAGAAAAAGAAAAAAAAAAGTTTCTTATTTGTTTTCTGACAATTGTATCAGTTTGTTTCCAATGTACATTAGTATCCAGTACAGAAGGATCATTTCAATTTGGTGGTTAATTCAAATAGTCTAATTATGCGAAAAAAATGTTATTGAACTTGTGGAAAGAAGTAAAAAGAATTAAGAAAGTTCTTATCATCACAGTAAATTTCTTGTTCTCATAGTTTCAGAAATGTTTGACAGTGAAGTATTAGGGAAACTAATCAACACAGAGCTGGGGCTAACAGTCAAGTATTTTTGTTTCCGGGAAGGAAGTCTCGAGTGGCATCCATTTAAGATGCTTAACTAACCTGAAAATGGAGAACAGTACCATCTGCACTGCAATATGCAACCATGCCTAAAATTCAATATAAAAATTTCTAGTCAGTTGCTAGACAGATGTTTGATAATCATGACTGTCTACCTCAAATAAAGAAGCACATGATACTGAACTGGAATTTCTTATTCCCATAATAAGAAGTTTCAACTTAACCAGAGAAATGGAGCCAATCCAAATTTTAGTGACCCTGGGTAACATTAAGTTATTTTATGTAAGACCATGCAAAGAGATTAGAGCCAAGGATCTGCAATATCTGTCTTGGGATCACAAGGATCTAATTATTTTAAATTCTACACAAATCTATCATCAGATTTTCAGTATAATATAAAACAAGAAATTCAACTTTTCTAAAGAAAATGAGAATCTTAGTGACTGATTATCATATGTCAGGTATCACTGTTGTTACCGAGAGATATGTAACTTATGTGCATATTAAGGGAGGGGGAGAGAGCATTTTTCTTTCTTAAGCTGCAAAGAAATTTTTTTTTGTAGCAAGTAAGGAAGTTGGTTTTATTCCTGAATGAAAAAAAGCAACTTGATTTTAACAACACAAAAAGACAAAAAGCTAAGGGAAAAAAACAGTTAGGTAGTTTGCTTGCAATTAAGGAAACACAAGAAAACAGAGGTGTAAGAACCTGTTAGTCGTGATACTTGTGCACTCCAGATGGCAAAAGATGAACAATTATAAGCACTTAATCCTTGCTGTTTTGTGCCAGTAAAAGGTTTCCCAGTAACAGGTACATCATATGCAGCCTTCCCCAAGCTGAGGATTCTTATTGTTCCATCATCGAATGTTATGACTGCACATCTGAAAGTGAAAAATAAATGGATCATAATACTATGCATATATGGGGAACAATTTGCACGTACTTCAGCAAGATTGGTCATACAGTTTACCTTGGATCTGGGAGCCAATCCAGGCTATATATGAACCTCGGGGCTGGATGGACAGTCCATAAAGGGCGGAAGGGATCACTGTAAACAATCCAAAATATACTATAATCATAAATTGGTCAAGCAATCTTCTAACTTCCCTTCCACAGAAAGAGAAGTTATAAAATGATGCCTAGTAGGTATGTAATAAACATAAATGAGGTCCATCAGAGATAATAGGAAAAAGATAATTTAAGCCACCAAGCATCAGAAATTGGACTAGATGGAACTTATTGAGCAATAACCATGAAAATCGCAATATTAAATTATTGTGCTTACCGTATGTCCCAAAATTTTAGGCCTCCATGTCCAGCAGTGATTATTACATTTGCACTCACTGGATCACTGAAAATTGACAAACAGTTCAAAAATATCTTAATCACCAAGAACAATAGTAGATAAAACTCTGTGAGGAAAAAGAACAGTCTTTTAGGAACAAGATAGCTGCTATCAAGTTTAGTGCCGTTTAGAGAACTTTGATCCATGCTCTAAAGGAGACGTTCGTCAACAACCAAAAAGGAAAAATTACTCAATCATTAACAACCAGAATTGATTTGCTATAAGGCTAGAACATGAAATCTAATAATTTTTTGTCAGCATTTTATTAAGTGTATTTATCCCTGCCCTCCACCCCCCGCCCCCACCCTACAAAACCAAATCCTTCCCACAAAAAAATGAGGTAGTATCATCCAATGTCAAAATTACACTGTAAAATTAAGACTCAAAATAATATTTAGTGGATACTGTCTTATCATACATTTATTTACTACTATATTGGAATTATTAATTTCTAAAATAATTTTAATTGAACATATAATTCTGGCCTTAAGAGTTAAAACATGAAAAACTGGATGGGACTTGCAAGTTCACTAACCCTCAATCAATTCATTCTGGGCTCACTGCTCCATAAGGACTCATCGCAGCAGTAGTACCTAGTTTGTTACTACAAATTATGGAAAAAAAACTTCTTACTCCCAATCCCACAGGAAAACAATTTCCAGTTATACTCAATGAAACATACCAATTCCTCCAGGTATATATTTATGCAATTAATGGAACCATAAATCAGTGTTTTAAAGGTTGTCATAAATTTTAAGGAAAAATACTGAATATTTTTTATATTTTATTGAAATAAAAGTAGAAATATATATACATGTAAATAGAATTATATATGGTAATTAATATAAATTACTTTATTAATTTCTTTCCTAATTAGTTTAATATATTTGGAAACATAATCAACCTATTATGTATATAGATCTTCTACAATATTCTAACACTTCCTCTTAAGTTGGAGCATAAATATTAATCATGTTCAGTTTATTTCGAAAATACTCAATCCGTGTTCCATTAAGAAGCTTTATGAATATGTCACTAAATTATTCTCCTGTCTTTACATAATCAGTAGATATGCAGTTTTTCTGAATCTCTCTCGGATGAAGTGACAGTCAACTTCAATATGTTTGGTTCTCTCGTGATACACAGAATTTGAGACAATATGAAGAATAGTTTGATTATCGCACCAGAGTTTTGCAGGAGATGTGGGATTCAAACCCACTTCATTTAAAAGGTGATGTATCCATAAGATTTCGTACGTGAATTAGGTCATAATTCTATATTCAGACTTTGCGCTTGAACGAAATACAACTGTTTACTTCTTACTTTTCGATGATACGAGATTCCCACCAACAAAAACACAATATCCTGTAACAGATCTCCTATCAATTTTAGATCCAGCCCAATTAGCATTTGTAAAACATTCAATATGAATATGTCTATGATTTCTAAAGACTATGCCAAATCCCGGGCACTTTTTAAATAACACAAAATATGTTCCACAACTTCCCAATGTTTTGACTGTAGGTACAGATATAAATTGATTTGCAATACTGACAGGAAATGCAATATCTGGACGAGTCACAGTAAGGTAATTCAACTTCCCAACTATTCGTCTGTATTTCTTTGAATCATCAAGGGGATCACCATCATCTTTTGTAAGATGTACATTTAATACCATTGATGTATTGCATGACTTAGCTCACAACTTTCCTGTTTCTGCAAATAGGTCAAGTACATACTTCATTTGAGATAACAAAATCTCTTCCTTACTCCTTGTTACTTCCATTCCCAAAAAGTATTTTATCTGTTCCAAGTCTTTGGTTTTAAGCTTGGTATGTAGGAATGACTTGAGAGAGAATATTCCTGCATGATCATCTCCTATAATTACAATATCATCAACATAAACAACAAGAAGTATAATACCAGCTGTTGATTGTCTGTAAAAAATTGAATGATCACACTTACTCTTCTTCAATCCGAACTCACAGACTACCTCACTGAACTTGTCAAACCACGCACGGGGACTCTGTTTCAAACCATACAAGGATTTCTTCAAATGACAAATTTTTCCGTACTCCTCATGAGCAACAAAGTCAGATGATTGCTTCATATACACTTCTTTCAAGATATCACCATGAAGAAATGCATTTTTAATGTCTAGCTGGTGTAAGGGTCAATCACGGGAGGCTGTAATAGATATGAATAAACGAACAGAAGTAAGTTTGGTCACTGAAGAGAATGTATCAGAATAGTCTACCCCATAAGTCTGATCATATCCTTTTGCTACCAGCCGTGCTTTAAGTCTCGTTACATAACCATCTAAATTTATTTTGACTACAAACACCCATTTGCACCCTATAACCTTTTTTCCTTTGGGTAAATCCATCAGATCCCAGGTATGATTATCATCAAGAGCACTTATTTCTTTCAGCATGGCATTACGCCAACCAGGGTGATTCAGAGCCTCCTTAACTGTCCTTGGTATAGAAATGGAATCTATAAAATCAATTAAAGAGCTAGATGAAGGAGACAAATGATCATATGAAATGAAATTAGCAATGGGATAAGTAGAATGAGAAAATGTGCATTGACGTGTACCTTTAAGAAGATTGATGGGAAATTCAAGATGAGTCGTAGGATCAGATAACGAAAAAGTTAGTGCAGGACATGTATTATTAGTCTATTATCTTCAGGAATAAACATGAATAATTTGCGGTGGTTCTTGAGTTGGAGTCACACCATTATCAGTTTGCTCATAAGGCACACAAGAAGAAATACCATTACCTTGTTGCTCTGTAGTGGCATTGTGTTGGAAACTACAGATGAGCTATTAATAGTCATTTACCTGAACTGTAGAGCTGGACTGAAAGGAGAGGA